TTGAAAATAAAAGATTTTTCTTTTACTTCACCTCATCCCACAAATGATTTATTTCAACTTGAAACCAATTTTGACAATGTATATTTTACCTACAAGTGATATTTTGAAGTAGGAGGGGGATAAAAATTGTAATATTTGGTATATGTTTTTTTCTTTCTGTTACTAGGTGCTCAAACATCATAGTCATTATAGGTATGCTTTTAAATAAAAACAAAAATACGTTTTTAGGGGAAGGCAACTGTGAAAGAGAGAGAGAGAGAAAGAGAGAAAGAGAGAGAGAGAGAGAGAGAGAGAGAGAGAGAGAGAGAATCCTATACCTTCTCCTTGGACTGTCTGGATTATTTCATAGCAAAAATACAATCAATGACCTTTTGATCAATGGAACAGGGTGGTGACAGGTACTCTTAATTCACTGTTGTTGGTGATTATTGACAAGCTGGTAATGATCATGCTGTCCTGTGTCACTCCTGCTGAGGGCATTAGCATTCTTTAAAGGTCAAAACCAGTATTTTTTTAATTGCAGAATTTTTAGAAATCAGGGAAGCCTCAGGATTTTTTAAAACCAGGTTCACACTATAAACTAAGGAATATGTGAAACACTCAGGATTTCAGTTCTTTCCATATGTTTCACATTAAAATGACATCAAATTTTCCTGATTTAAATTCTTGGCTCTTAAATAAACTGCGTGGCAAAAGTCTTCCAATGGGTGAGTGAAAAGGGGATTCTGAAAGCTATTTATGTCTCCAGGAGGCCGAGGCAGAAAGTAAGCACAAACCAAAAGCAAATCTGTACCAAATCAAAGCAAATTTATACTTACTCTGTGACACTCTTACTAGCTCAGTCACACTAAAAACACCTGATGTGACAAAACTGTCCTGGAAGCCCAAATGTCCTGAGGAAACAAAAACAAAAAAAGCAAAGTGTCATAAATAGAAGATATTTGGTAACAGAAGTCTAAACATGAGTTTCATTGTGATTAAAAAATATGATGTCTACTTTCATATTCTACTCTGGTTAGAGTTTCCGTGGGAGGGTATAGTCATTTAGTTATGTAGTTTTTGGTATGTTTTTTTTGGTTTGAATCTAGAGGTTATGGAAAGCTATGACACAACAACTGGGTGCTTTCTGAAATGGTTAAAAAAAAAACTCAACAGGAAATCTGAAACAAAAGACGATTTAAAATAAATGGTTACCTTGGCTGACCTCTGAGGCCATAACAACTTGGATGAAAACACCCTACCCTAACAGTCAGCCCGGATAGCTAAATTCCACAACAATTTTAAACACGATTTTCTAAAGAAACGTTTGATGGGGATTAACTATCTATTCATTCAAACCAAACAAGATTTAAAGATGTTCCCTTCATTTCTAGAGGAACCACAACGTAAATCTTTAAAAAGCCAGACTAGCAGAAGCAAATCCCTTAAAAACCATTGAAACATAAAAATAAATTCTTGGAGCACAGATAAAATTTAGATTTGTTTCAAGAACAAGAGTTTTTTGTTGTAGGGTTGATTCTTTACTTTTTTTTTTTAAAGAAAAGATAAATTAATGGTACAAAATTAACCTCTGAATTTTGTATCTGTTTCATTTTTTCTGGATGATTAGTTTCCTTTATGATATCTGTGTATTCATTTTTATAGTATGTTTAGGAACATAAAACATAAATGGCAAGGAATACTAGTAGATAATTGACAATATGTCATTTCCCGCTCTGCCTCTAAAGTCTTCTCATTCTGAGAGCCTCACATAGGTAAACCTAATTGAGAGATCTGTCTATTGCAGTGATTCTCAACCTTCCTAATGCCGCGACCCTTTAATACAGTTCCTCATGTTGTGGTGACCCCCAACCATAAAATTATTTTCGTTGCTACTTCATAACTGTAATTTTGCTACTGTTATGAATTGCAATGTAAATATCTGATATGCAGGATGTATTTAGGTGACCCCTGTGAAAGGGTCGTTCGACCCCCAAAGGGGTCGCGACCCACAGGTTGAGAACCGCTGGTCTATTGAGTTAATGTAACCACCTGCTCTAAAATTAGGGCCAAAGGAGAAGTTGATGGCTGAGGGGAATTTTCAAAAATAACTGTTCTCTGAAATAAGGAAAACACCTTTAAAAAAATACAACATAAGAAAAAAGACCAATCTGAATATGATCACTACGTAGGGGAGGCAAGTTTACTTGCACATTTTACACAACAGAAAATTGTTAAGTGTCATAGACATAAATACATGCAAAAATTGTCATGTTTTGGATTATAAATGCACCTACAAATTATTCTTTTTCCTTTGGTTAACATATGACTTCTGCATAAGAAAGATATTTTTAAAACTTAGATTTAAAAGAACATTTTCAGTTTTTAAGATCAAATACACAATCTCTGATATTATAGGTAAATAGCTCTAATTTTTAGGATATCTGATAATCATAAACTTCTTGGTAAAATAAAATAGCACCATGTATGGTGATGGATGTTAACTAGAATTACTGTGGGGGGGGGGGTCATTTCACAATATATCTATATAGTGAATCATGTTGTACACTTGAAACTAATGTAATGTTATATGTCAATATCTCAATTTACAAACGAAAAAACGTATATACACCACAACTTAAAAAATGGCAAAATTTCATTCGAAGAGTTGGTTAAGAAATTTCAGCTCCCAAGGTACCCACACCCAGGTATTTAGTTGACTGTTATTTGAGATGGGCCTAAGGTGTTGTCTCTTGGATTAAGAGAACTGAGAAATAAAAATAGATAAATCAAGAAAAGTTCTCTAACATGGTCTTGGCAAAACAGACTCTGACACCTTTTTCTATTGTGATAATATTCAGATCACATTGATCCTCCAGACCATAACAAATGAAATCCAACCACAATGTACATTAAGTTTAACTTAAAACACATATATCAATGGCAAGGAAACTCATAGTGGAATAGGAAAAGCTGGGTTGAGCTCCAGCTCTTGCTCATCTCTGTCTGTGTCACCTGCCTGTGAGCTGATACTTGTTTCAGTTACAACCTTTTTAATTCCTTACTTTAAGGACAACTTAACATGAATTTCTATATAGACAGAATGTGCACACACATACATTAATCCTGCTAACAAAAAAATAAAATAAAATAAAGCAAGCAATATAACTGAAAACTAAGTTTAGTTTGTCACAAGGGCTTGGGAGGGGGTAACCCCTGTGTTCATCCTTTCAAACTCACCCTGTTTTCAATGCCCTTTTTCTTCTGTCTACCTCTTAAATGCTAGTGTTCTCCAGGGTTTGTGCTCATCCCTCCATATATTTTTTGCCCTCAGTTTATCTTCTCTATTTCCATGATATCAGCTATCAGGCTTGACTGTGATATTTGTGAAAGCTAGAATAATATTTGTTTCCTTCTCCTCTGTATTTAATGCCTGAGACAAAGCAGCTAGTAAGTGAATATTTACTGAATGAGTGGATGAATGAATCTATTAGCCAATGACTCTCAAATCTTTATCTTTTGCCTTGACTGCTCCCCTAGATTCCTAACACATGAATCAAAATGTTTATTGCATATTTCTATCTATATAGCTCACGGGTAGCCTCAGATCCAACATGTCCAAAGCTGAGCTTATTTTCTTCTCCCCTAAAACCTGTTTTTACTCTTTTGACTTTCCTATGTCAATGAACCAGCCACCGTTCAATCTGCTTTTCTGTTTTGGTGTCATCCCTGACTCCTACTTCTTACAAACACCCACATCCACCTAATCCCCATGGATTCAATTTCTTACTATTTCTTGACTCCATGTACAAGTCTGCCTCCCTCGTATGATTGTGGCTAAGGCTTTTGCCAATTCTCATCAGCCTTCTAACTATGTTCATCACCAGTCTTGGCTTCTCTTCTAGTCTATTCTCCACTCAGAGTTGTCTCACTAACAGGCAAATCTGATGATTCATTCATTTATTCAACGAATATGTATTGAGCCCCTACTGTGGGCCAGGTGTTCGCCCAGGGGTTTGAGATACAGTCCTACCTTCAGGAAATTACAGTCTATGATTACAGACAGCTGACAATGTAAAAGAAACAAATTATTTTAAAAATTATAAATGGTATAAATGATATAAAGGAAACAAGCAGGAAACTCTTTAGAAAGAGTGGTTAAAGAAGGTCTCTCTTAAGAGCTGACATCTGAAAGATGCTAAGGAGACAGCCAGGAAAAAAAGGTGGCGAGAGCTCTTCAGGCAGAGGGATTAGCATGTACAAAGGCCCTGAGGTAGGAAAGAATGGGATGTTGAAGCAAGCATGTCAAACTCACGGCTGGCCACGCTGCGTGAGTTTGACATGCTTGTGTTGGAGGATCCAAGAAAAATCCAAAGTGTTCAGTGATCACTACCCTGTCAGAAATCTTGCAAGAGCCCCACAAAGAGTTCAGGGTATAGTAACAAACTCCTTCACATGACCTACGACCTCCATGTAGCCTCTGCTTTCCTCTCTGGGCTCTATTTTATATTTTGTTTCTTGCTTCCAGCCCTACTCCTTGGCCTAAGTGAACACACGTACCTCCAGGGCCCTGGTTCAGCCCCTGCCCTCACCCTGCTCCTTCTTTCTGGACTTTCTGTCCTTCTGACTCTTTGTTTGGCCACCTCCTACTTGTCTTTAGGACTCAGCTTTGTTGTTACCTCTATCAAAAGCCTTCCCTGGTTACCTCACTGGAGAAGACTCCTTTTCTCTTTCTGGGATACGGACCTGATGTACTATGTGTGGTTCTAAACTAGGACTTAGGACACTAAATTGCAGTTTTGTCTTTTTCTCATATTCGTCTGTGAGCCCTTTGAGAAAGAGCATCGTGTGTATCTCCAGCACTCCAGGTCCTAACATAGTGTCTGGTATCCAGTGAGCACTCCAGAGATGCCTCTGAATAAAAACAACTCAGATGGGGCTCAAGTATGTGCGTTTTCCTCTTTATAAAAGTGTAAGCAGAATTCTCATATTCTCTCTCTCTCTCTTTCTCTCTCTCTCTCTCTCTCTCTCTCTCTCTCTCTCTCTCTCATCTCCAGCAAGCCAGTATGCATCTGAAAACTATTAAAAATGAACCATCCAAAGAGTCCCTCCAAACTAAATAGGACAAGGACAGGATAGACAAACCCTTTAAACGAAGCTCCTGATCAAGAAGGTGCCATCAGGTTCTCTGAGGAGAAATGTCTGGGGTTGTCCTATTATTATGGTTATGGTTCAAATTTTGGGAAACCAAGGAAAAACAGAGTTGAAGGGCAGCATTATTTAATAAACATAAGAGAGAAAAAAACCCAACTACAAAACAATTTAGTCTGAAGCTTAAAGTAGGATCTTGTGTGATCCTGAGAAAGTCGCTGCCAAAATAATAATTTGATCCTCATTTCCCTCCTAGCAACCTTCCTCAAAGGCTTATTTTAGGAGAATGTGTGTAATTTAGAAGATGAAATATATGCGAATGTACAATAACCAGAAAAATAAAAATAAAGAGAATTATTTCACAAGTCCTGATAGAATCATCTCTGCACAGTATTATGAGATTATCAGAGGGCCTTGACTACTTTAACTTCACAATGTGTCCACAGGGAAAGGTCTGTGTAAACACGCCATGTAACTTTGAATGACTATGAAACTGGTTTTGTTCCTTCACCAATTATTTAGAAACCCACTGATCCAGTGGAAGACAGCCACGAAAAATGAAACCTAAGAAATGATGGAAAAAATGACACGGCTAATGTAATTACTAAGCGAACCTGAGCAGATTAATATTTTGTTCTCACTAACACAAACCAAGTCATAAAAATGACTTTCGGGGAAATAACACTAATCTGGGAGTTCTGCTTTATGGAAAAATGAGAGGGAAATGGGAAAATATATAAAAAGGTAAATTTAAGTAATTCTG